TTTTCTGGCTAACACCCTGAGAGTGGTACCAAGATTTGACAATATTGAATGATCAGTTAAGTGATTAAATAATAGTATCACAACAAATGTAAGACAATAGAAACTTGCGCGTTTTAGCAGCAAACCTGCATAGGCAAGGCCCACTGTAGTCCAAAACACTCTGGTTATGCCAATAATCCTCAGTTTGTCATCAAAATACGAGCAACTGGTACAAGAGAAGAAAACCTAGTTCTGTCACAAGTGTTTATAAGATTTTTGAGGCATTATTAGCATTAAACATGTAGTCAAAGTATTCTACACCATGACACAACACCAGCCAAGAATTAGCTTAACCCGGTTCATAAGGTACAATTACCTGGCTATAACACTATTATTTTATGCTTTCCCTTTTAGACATTCTGTACAACCGTATCCATACTATTATATTTCTTTGTACTTGCGGTGTTTGGATGGATGTTATGTGAAGGAGTCATCGTTTATCTTCAACTTGTGAACGTCTATACGGGATTGGGTTTAGGAGGAAAACATCTAAAGGTGTTCTATGTGATTGGCTGGGGTAAGTTGTTTCGGGATATGTGATAAAGGACTGTGATGCATGATCGCATCTTGCGTTAGTATGCAAAAAAAAAAATACAGCGAAACAAAAGAAGTGCCGAAACGTTGGGGCATGAATTGTTTTATTGACAATACTGTACGAGTGCATTTCCCCAAAACACTTCAATAAATGTGAAATGCTGTTACCACGTGTTCTACTTTAGGTATTCCAGTTGTAGTTGTGGCGGTGTTGGTTGGGTTCAATGATCGAAAAGATTTTATAACCAAGCACGCGTGTTGGTGCCGTGGTGATGGCGTGTTGTTCTGGACATTTGTTGGGACCATTGGCCTAATCTTGTTGGTAAGCTTAGACGGGAAGAAGTGTAGTACATCATTGTCTCTACTAATGTACATTGTTTTGTGAAGTTTATAAAATATGGAAAGCGAAGTATAGAGTATAAAATAGCGACATATCAAATGAAATCACATCTGCGCAAATTCTATAATCAACATGGAAAAGGGAACAATAGCAAAGTTCCGAAAGAGACCAGCACGCATGGCAACTTTTGGAAGTGGAACATTAATAGCCTCACTGAGTGTGATAAGGGACATGATGAGCCACCGTAAAAGCCTTTAAAGACTTCCAGCTATAAGCGTCTACAACACGTAATAGACGTTTTATGCTATGTTTATCTCTCTCTTTCTTTTCAGATCAACCTGGTAATCTTCGTTCTGGCCTTGCGAAGTGCATTATCGTTTAGTACAGTAAACGCAGCTCGTACACTAAGTTCCACAAAAGACAGTACTGACACAACTAAAGCAACAGCTGAAACAATATTAAGAAAAGCAAAACTCGGCCTCAAAGGTTCAGCAATACTACTTCCATTACTTGGACTGACGTGGGTTTTTGGACTGCTGGTTTTCAATCGAGATACGATTGTGTTTAAATATCTCTTCGCCATATGTAATTCTCTACAAGGAATGATGATATTTGTTTTTCATGTTCTTATAAATAAAAGGGTACGTTCGGTCTTAGGGAAGATCTTGTGGTCACATTCTCCTAATAAAGTGGGGTTTTTTCAAGTAGTTCAGACACAAACTAAGCCTAGGGCAGTTAAATGTACAATACTACCTACAATGGACAACTACGTTTGAGATAACTTTTTCAGGTAGTTCAGACACAAACCACAGCAGCTTAATGTGGAATCCTACCTATACTAACTAACAACTGTTACTTATTTCATCTTCAAGGTCCATGAAGCAATCAGCAGGGAAAAGAAACCTCGTGAAGCCAGACACATAACCAACATTGCGGTTAACAATACATGTAAGCAATGAATACGTTGCCAAACATTATTTGGTTTGCTCGTATTTCAATTTTTCTTTGTCCTCAATCCATTTTTTATGTGAAGGTGAAGCTAAGGGAAAGGGGGGGGGGGAGTAAAGAGAAAGGTCAGAAAGTGTTTACCATTGTTTAAGTCGACTCACTTGATTATCAGGGCTCCACTGAAAATCCTTTTGTGAGTGGACCCCCTGACTAAATATTGTAATTATTATTATTATTATCCCAAGGACAGTTGACACATCTCAGTATTCTCAGATGAGTGATTTTCTCCGTTCATATAAAGTTTATCACAAATATAGATCTTTCATTCTTTTGCAGGTGGTACACTATCAACCAGTGAACGTAACTGCGGAAAATCCAGCGGTATATTATCGGAAGACCTTGAACTACTAGCAAAGCCGCAGTAATGTCAGCTGGCTTCCACCTATGCTTCCACTACCAAAAGTTAATGCCCTGATACTGGAATGAAGAACTATTTGAAAATAAAGTAATTTAATAGATTATAGGTGTTTACATTGTATGTATCATGTACTTTAGCATGTAAGCTGTTAACATTAACACAAGAAAAAGGTTAGAATACTATTAATGGTACTAATAATAATGATAATATTATTACCATTAATAATAATATTAATGGTAATAATACTATTAATGGTAGAAACATTTAGGACCAATCTTAAGAAATCTTGATGTAAATAGCATATATATTTGTGTAGTACGACCACGTGTGTTTGTGTGACTGTGTGTTGTTATGTGTGTCTCTCTATTATTATGGTGTATAAAAAATTTAGATCACTTATGTAAAATTTCGCTGAAAATCCTTTTAAGGGATGTGAAATAAAAATACAATACAATACAATACAATACAATGGTAATTATTATATGGCAAGCATCACTTCCGGTGAAATGGCGAACTGTCATTGGCTGAGAAGCACTTTCAGCGGTCCATTATTTTCCCTCATCGTAACTGCTTTATACTCATTACAAGAAACTGAAGAAACGTTGCAATATTCCTAACAAATTTGCGGCCGTTGGAAGTTTCAAGAACAATATTAACTGATTCATAACTCCACGTAATTACTGAGTTTTATCGAGCAGAGGCCAGTTTACAAGAGCTTGTGATATATCAACTATTTGAATTTTAAACTAAAACTGTATTCTAACGAATACGTTCGAATACGCAGACTTGCGAGTTGCGGCCTGGCAAAAAAGGTTTTAAAGAATATATTTAGTTTCCATTCAACCAATCACATCTAACTACCATCGTCCATCTGCACCCAAAAAAATGGCGGCAATAAAACGTCTAGTTGTTGTCATAATGAGTGTACCACTTCAAGAAAACGCACAGTCAGCAGAAAAAATGAGAGGACCATGGCCGTGCCGTTTGAAATACACCAACCTTACAAATACAGTGTCTTATGGGAAATTTCGTAACAGAACTATACCCATACTTCCTGATTCAATATATAACAGGCCCCTGGGGAAAAATCAGAGTTGGTGGACTAAAAATAATTGGTACAGTTATAGTAATTTGACTGGGATTTTTGGAATGGATAAGGGAGTTCCGTATTGCGAATACAACACAAAACACATCCTGCTCAGATATCGTCGATCCGGCTTGAGAGAAACAGACTTCTCGTTTCATTATGATTATGGCCGGATAACTTGTACACAACGTTGCAATTAACAAAGTCTGCTTTATATAGTATGCTTTAGGAACATTCGGACAGTTATTCGGACGTGAAGTACCTACGGCATATTGCCGGCGGTTTTACATCTATCAATTACCGGAGTTTAAATATATAAAAAGTACGACTCGCGCACCTTAGTGTTTAATAATACTGGTCCACCAAATAGAACGATATCAAAAACTGATGCAACGATATCAAATTCTGGCCCAGCCAATACAGTGACAGGCACAAAAGGTATGTGCAACTGTGCGACATCGTGTTGTTGTTCCCAAAAAGCAAAGACTGGCAAAAAAGACCGCTTGTGTTCTTGTATAATTAGATTTTCCTTATTAAGTAAATCACAAGCATTAAGACTCTATAGTTGTTCCAAATATTTCATATAATGCCGAATTTCTGCATAACGCCTGTTTATATACGTCGAATTTAATTCAGACGAATTTAATTCATTGTTAAATTCGTCAACTGGTCGACATTAAAATGGTTTCGTTTCAAACGACGAATTTAATTCAGACGAATGATTCATTTCATGAGTAGCGATCATGCATTACCCAGAAATAAAAACCACGAGACCAGAAGAGAGAAACAGACTTTAACATAATTTATGCATTTAATTGGATACGACGTCGTATGAAACGGAGACGCGCTACGGACGTTGTATCCGTCTGACCATGACGAATTTAATTCGTTTCATACGATGCACTACCGTCGCATTTAATTCGTTCAATTAAATTCGTCTGAATTAAATTCGACGATAGTGCGACGTATAAAACAGGCCTAAGAATATCATGTGCAGCAATGGTGTTCTGCATTTTGTATAGGCTACATCGCTATACCGTTCAACAAAATCTCTTGCCCTACTTGATACTGTCATTTAGTGCTCGTCATTTCTACGTTTTTGGTCTGTTCCAGGTTCAGTGACGTGTCATGGAAATATGGTAGAGAATGCCAACTGTCCTAAAGATCAGTACATGGTGGTCAAGAATGCATCATACCGTGGATTGCCTGACACAAAGACATGTGCATGGTTTGAGTGATGGTTCATACAGTTGAATTGTTTGGACTGATACGTTTTCAATGTTTACGATGTTTAATTTTAAAAAAATTGGAACTGTCTCCATTTGGTTTATCTAGTGGAAAAGCTCAATACAGAAAACAACTCAGCATAAATTTGTTAAATAACCAAACTGAACGTTTTCGACTTGAATAGAAAATTACCACTGATATACGAGAAAATTGTTAGACTGTTATGTAATATATGAACAACGAGAGCGAGTGTTTCACCGGGATACCCAAACACGAGAAAACAATGTATGAAAACACGAGCGCGAAGCGCGAGTGTTTTCATACATTGTTTTCGAGTGTTTGGATATCCCGGTGAGACACGAGCTCGAGTTGTTTATATGGCTTCTCAAATGAATCGAGACGTAACAGAATGTTTTCGTTTGCTGATTTGAATAGAATTCTTAACCAAGAATAACGTAATTAGGAATTCTATTCAAGTAATTTTGCATGCGTAATTAAGATATTTGATGAAAACACTAGTGACTTTCATCAAGTTTCACCGGGTTATCCAAGTGGCATCTTGTGATCAAATAGGTGATTATCATTGGCTGAATTGCTCATGAATTATTAATAAATTTGAGAACATTATATCTGAAATACATAATCTATAGCCGTGCTTACATTGCAGTTCCTGATTTAAAAATGTTTCATATTTGTTATTCATGGAATTTCAAAAGCACCACAGACTTCACGCTGAGTTTCAATAAATACTTCTGTTATTTTGCTTCGCCTCGTTGGTTCAATTCGTGTCCCGCTTTCATAACGCGTACTTGAATTGAAGTGCTTCCTCAATTAAAGAAGATGTTTTCATCAAAGTGTTTTCATTTTGTAATACCGACTGTGATTTTCCTGTTACTCCAAGGTACGTTTTCTGTCGTTTATAACATGTATTTATATTTCATGTTCTTTCAAGGACGCAGTCACTTCTGTGCTGAACCTAACCTCATAATAAGTGGCAATGAATATAAATCTAAACTTCACTGCAGTCTGATTATAAAAGATTGGATTAAACTTCATTGCCATTATTTGAACCGATTGTGGAGTTAAATTTTTGAGGAATGGATAAGTTCAATACTCAACTGTCTTTGCCAGTTAAGTACTGGCAATCAAATGAACAAGCTTTCATTGGTATAGGGATTCAGGATTCTTTTTACAGAAGTAAACAATGCGAAGTCTTTAATCGCATGTCATTCATTCGATCATATACTTGCCAGGAGAAAAATTGTCGACAGAATTCGTCTAGTGTGAACCAGGCCAAGGCTTAAAGCATCGCGAGAAGAAAGATGTAGTGTTTCACACGATTTCGTAGCAAAATAAATCATTTCTGCACTCTGCCCCGGCCCCATCGATCTCGCAAAGATTAATACTTAGAGAAGGAAACATTTCAGTAATATATCAGGACAGTTCGTCAAATTGAAAGTGAAGTCTGTGCGAGTTTTCCCAGGAAATCTAGCTAGAAAGATAGTGTTTCGCATGGTTTCAGGACAAAATAAACCATTTGGCATCGTCTACACGACTACACAATGACATTGAAACCAGTAATAGACTAATAATGAGTAAATTCAACTTAAACACTATACTGAGCAATAACGCGAACGTGCATGCATGTCTACGAAGTTAAATAAATCAGCGAGTTAAATGTGAGGCTAGCGCATTACCTGTGTCTATATAAGTTCAATATATCACGCATACATGCAATATATGTAGATGTACAGTACATACTACAAAGATGCCAAATTAAAACTGAACCCAGTGCGTCTGTATGAATAATATTTATATTAATAAACCCTGTGTTCATTTTATTTTGAGCCTGACTGCAAATTATTTGCGTTTTAATAACTGTTCCTGATTTTCTCACCTAGCTTTCGCGTAAAACCCACTTTATAATTGCATAAACATAACGAAACAGTTTGCAATACAAATCACCCGGCGACCAGTCGGACCAGTCCTTATAAACGGCGGCCATCTTGCTAATTAAAGGCCCTTTACACTTGCAATTTTTGCTGCGACTTCTAGTGCGAGCTCCTCTTCTGATGGATGTGAAGGAGTAGATGAGTTATGAATGTTCAGATGAAGGAACATATACTCAAAACATTCATACTCATCTACTCGTTCACATCCATCAGAAGGAGAAAATCGCAATAGAAATCGCAGCAAAAATTGCAAGTGCAAATGGCCCTTGATATTCTACTTTTTTGGCTATTGACGACGATGCGGCTATCCGACATCTACAAAAAAGGCCGTGCCGAAAACTATAGTCACAGTCTGCCCAAACAACTGCAGACTGAATATAAAAGATTGGATTAAACTTCATTGCCATTATTTGAACCAATTATGAAGTTAAATTCTGAGGAATGAATCAGAATAACTGCCTCTATTAAACAATAATGTACAGCAGCGACTGAACAGCCATGAAATCAGTTTAGTTAATTAGCTTGCATTAGCTTGATGCACGTTTAGACAAATGAAATACACTTATGTGATATAAGTCATATAAATGAGCTATGAAAGACACTGTGCCATCAACAACCATCTATTTACATGGTACTTCATCTAAACGCAAGCACACAGACACGCAACAGGAGTCCATTATTTACTTCGTTATTTATTTTTGTGTTTTGTTTCAGGCGCTGCTTGTTTCTTTGTGAAACATGTGCAGACAGGGATGTGTATTAATGACACAAGAATGCTACAGG